AACCCAACAAGTCAGTGCAAGACTAACGCCGTGGCCATCGGCCGCTGAAACACTCGCTGCTGGTGTCAGTGGAGGGAAATGGTGCGCCGGCGCGTAGGGAAATGAATGCAACACGATGACAGTCATCCGTCATAGGCGAACGCTGTAGTTCGTTATTAATAATGATGTAGAACAGGATAGTGTGAAAACTAAGCTACACAATTTTACTGAAACGTTTCTCACAGACCGTTGTGTTGGCTGGGCCGCAGCAGCATTCCTTGTGGGCTGCTTGTGTGTTTGACATCCTTGTTCTAGACCATGGTCCCCAACCTCGGCTGCACGTTAGAGTCACCGGGGAATCTTTCTAAAATCCTGATTTCAGGGCCTCACCCTCCGGAAATGCTGTTTCTGTGTGATGGGGTGGGGCCACAACATGAGTAACAAAGAAACAGCATTTCCGGAGGATGGGGCCCAGAAATCAGGATTTTAAAAGGTTCCCAGGGGACTGTAACGTGCAGCCAAGGTTGAGAACCACTGCCTTAGACTAACAATTCGCCGTTGCCTTCTGCGCGCTGTGTACGAGGCGAGCAGGCCCGGGGTCCTGGCTGCGGAGGAGAGGAGGATCCGGGCGGGAGAGATCCACGCCGCGGGGAGTGGCGGGGCGGGGACCAGGGCTGAGCCTGCAGGAAAGAGCGGAGGGCAAGGTGCTGGCGGGAGCAGGTGAGGCGTCTGCCTGTCACGTGCGCCCCAGAGTCACTGGGCCCGGAGCTGGGGGACCTGATGTAACCGTGTCCAGGCCGCGCGCAGGCGTCGGGGGAGCCGAGGCACAGCCCCACCCCCCCACCTGGACCCGCTCTGCCCCCTGGCGGGCGGACAGGAGAGGAGAGGGCCCGGGGCCCAGCAGACATGGGTGGGTCCCCACGGCCTGGGCGGCAGGACGCCCCTGAGCCCCTGTGTGGGTCGGAGGCTGGGCTCCCCTGTGCGTGAGGAGAACGCGGGTCGGACCTAGCGGGTTCCGTGTTTTTGGTGCCGTCGTTCTATGCTAACGGCTCTCAGGCGGCCTCAGGTTTTGCCTCGTTAAGAGGACGTCTCCCAGGAGACCCGTGATTGGGCCTGCGGCTCCATCCTGCCCTGAGACGGACTTCCGGGCCGCTCCCGTCCGTGCCCCGCGGCCCAGGCTGCACGCACAGGGTCTCCCCACAGAGGGACCCCCACAGAGAGGGACCCCTTCAGAGGGACTCCCCACAGAGGGACTCCCCACAGAGAGGGACCCCTTCAGAGGGACCCCCACAGAGGGATGCCCCACAGAGGCCCTGAGCGAGCCCGGCGGTGGCCCTGGTTGGAAATTAACGCGTCCCAGGGCCCTGGGGGGGGGGGGGTTCCCCGAGGGAAGCTTCCGGCTGGAACACCTGCTCCCAGGTTGGAGGTGTTTCCTCGGGATGATGGGAGGTCGCACCTGTTTTCCCGGGAGGAAGGTTGCGTCAGTGGATTCAGGACGCCATCCCGCAGGGGTGGGCTTGGGCAGAGCTGCGTGCTCGGGAGACAAAGGCGCTGGGGCTGCGGCGAGCCCGCCGTCTGTCCGGGCGCTCCTTCCGTCTTCGTGAATATTTTTTTTATTTATTTTTTAAATACATTTTTATTGATTCCAGGGAAGAAGGGAGAGAGACATATAGAAACACCAATGATGAGAGAGAATTATGGATCGGCTGCCTTTTGCACGCCCCCCACTGGGGACCGAGCCCACACCCCGACCGGGAATCGCACCCTGACCTCCTAGTTCATAGGGCGACGCTCAGCTGCTGAGCCCCGCCGGCCGGGCTTGGTGAATCCCCTTTAGTTGAGGCTCCTGCCGGCACCTGTGGGTCCTGCCACCATGACAGAGCTGGTTCTGAGTAAGTTCTGTGGTTGGTTTTCTATCTCCTGGGCTCCCTGCGGGGTCAGCTGGGGGTGGCGGACGGGCGAGGTCCTGGTCCGAGGGGGCCGTCCCCAGCGTTGGCGGCAGTTCCGCGGTCACGGCCCTCCCTCTGACTTTGGTCTCCCCGGCGGGGTCAGGAGAGACCAGGGTGGGGCCTAGGTGTCCCCCGAGTGCTGTCGGAGGCGACCTCCCATGGTGGGTGCGGGCGTGGACACGCGGCTCAGGCTCCGGGACAGAAGCCGTGGATAGAGCTGTGCAGGTGGGCCCTTCCTGACCCCTGACCGCGGCCGCGCCCGGACCAACGGTCTTGCTGTCCAGTCCCAGGACCCCCTGAGGCCCTGGCCTTTGTCCTGGAGGGATGGGGGGGCCCCTGAGCAGGGCAGGTTCCCGGGTTCTGGAGCTGCCTCTGGCATTGGCTGTGGGGACACAGGGGGCGGGGGCTGTCTGTGTGGCTGACCTGTCCTCCCGCCGGGACCAAGGGCACGGGGTGGGGTGGCCTCCTGGCCCCTGAGGGGCTTGTCATTGCCGCCTCCAGGTCACGCCCTTCCCCATAGTCGGGGGCTCCATGGGACTAAAGAGATTAGGGGGTCATTTCTCGCCTCTAGTGTTTGTTCTTTGGTTGGGGACTGAGAGGGGCCCTTCTGTGCCCCGAGGGGACCAGCGGAACAGCACCTGTGCAGGCAGCGGGCAGCGGGCAGCAGCCGGCCGGTCACGGGCGGGAGTGAGGCCCCGAGTGGGGCACAGGTCTCATCAGGTGAAAGCACAGTGTGCAGCGAACCCCCGAGACCCTCCCCCCGGGAGCCCTGGGTGGTGTCCTCAGGGGGTGCCCTGTCCTGCTCCCCAGCAGCAGCTGGAGCTGGGCTTGCTGAGGGTCCTGTCTGTGCAGCCGGCCGGCTGTCTGCCAGGGGTGCCGCCTGCAGCTGGGATGGAGGGGCTCCCCTGGCAGCAGCTCCCCCTGCCTCCCCGCCCACCAGGCATTTCCTGTCCCCTTGCCGAGGCCGCATTCCACTGGGGGTCCCAGGCCCAAAGTGACAGGCTGCTCCTCCCCCCTCCCCCGGGCAGGCAGGCGACGAAGTTACAAAGCAGACGGAGCCCACTGAGCGTGCACGGCTGTGTCTTCAATGGATCCGTTCAGGCGGGTTCTGGAGGGGTGGGCAGCTCAGCCAGCCGGGCCCTCTCTGTCCATTGTGTCTGTCCTTCCGCCCCTGTGAGCCCTGCGTGTGGCCTGTTTCTGTGGGAGGATGGGAGCAGCGCCCTCCCTCCCTCTCTCCTTCCTTTAGTCCAGCTGTTCTCAACCTTCCTAACGCCACGACCCTTTCATACAGCTCCTCATGTTGGGGTGACCCCCAACCATAACATTTTCGTTGCTACTTCATCACTGTAATGTTGCTACTGTTATGAATCGTCATGTAAATATCTGATACGCAGGATGGATTTTCATTGTTACAAGTTGAACATAATAAAGCATAGTGATTGATCACAAAACAATATGTAATTATATATGTGTTTTCCGATGGTCTTAGGCGACCCCTGTGAAAGGGTCGTTCGACCCCCAAAGGGGTCGCGACCCACAGGTTGAGAACTGCTGCTTTAGCCAGTCCTTCCTCTCTCCCTCCTCCCTCCCCTCGCTCCTCCCTCCCTTGCTTCCAGGCCCCCAGGGGTGTGGGTGTGCTAGAGAGAGTGTCTGACCGTCTAGTTGAGCCACTGCCCCCTGGAGCACCTCGGTGATGAGGCCCAGGTGCTGTTAGATTCGGCGCCGCCCTGTGACCTCACCTGTGCCTGCTGGGGGCACCGCCCGGTCCCCGCACTTACATTAGGGCTCACGCTTGGCGTTCCATGTTCCGTGGACGGTGACGAATGTCCATGACACGGCAGCACATGACGGTGTCCGCGTCCCCTCCACAACCGGCTTGTCTCCGTGGAGCTCCATGGTCTCCTCAGACCACGTCTCCGGCGTCTGGAAGGCCCGCAGGCTGCCTGTCCCTCCCCTTCTGGGGGCACCGTGGCTGCTCCCCGCTCGGGTGGCGATGGGACTGCAGTGGCTGTGGCCTCCGCTGTGGGTTTGTGTGGATGTGCGTTTTCACATTTTTGGGGTCGATACTGGGCAGCAGTGACTGGAAATAGTCAGGTGTTCCTTCCGTCCAGGCCTGACAGGAGAGCAGGGGCCGTGGGAGCCGGTCCCGGGACTGGCCGGCAGCTGCTCTCCTGCCCTTGGCTCTCGGAAGGGGTGCAGGTGGCGGAGCGGGACCCATAGCGCCCCCAGTCCTGGCCCAGGGGCCCTGTTGTCTGTGGACCTCCTCCTCCAGGCTGAGCGCGCTCCAGCTTCCTCCTCGTCCCCACGCCTCCCGTCCCCGCTCTGTTCATGGCCCAGCCCTCGCTGAACAGGCAGCTGCCTCCCGACCCCGTGGAGTTGCTTGGACGGAATAACAGAATCGGCCAGATGTTCTTAAAATAGTTTGTTGTTTGTAAGACTCGACACTCCCCGAGGGAAACAAAGACTGTTTTTCCTTTGCTTGTGCATTGTGACTCCTAGCAAATTCCTGTTTCAGCTTCACAGCTGTTGGCTGTTTACAGAGTCCTGCTCCGCCATCCCCTGAGCGGGCCGGGTGGGCTCGGACACAGGCCCATCCCCTGAGCGGGCCGGGTGGGCTCGGACAGCAGGCACGTTTTGGGGGTAAAATATGTCCCATTGTCGTCAGCGTCTGTGTGGGGATATTGAACGCAGGGCAGAGGGTCTCTAACCTCGAAGGGCGCTGCCAGGTGCTGGGGAGCTGGGATCTCACCTGAGACGGTCAGGGCCTGGGGGGGCCCAGGGCGGTGGGGAGCCACGCCCGCTCAAGGTCAAGTGGAAAGGGCCGTCCAGGGAGAAAGGACGCAGGAGGTTGCGCCTGCAGTGTGAGCTCAGGGTCACGTCTGTGCAGAGGATGTAAACAGGAAAGGGGCCTTCGCCGGGGCTGGCGGCGAGGTTATCGGAAGGACAGCCAGTGGGACCTGGTCTGGGGTGACAGGCGGCGGTTAGGGCGGGAGGAGAGCTGTGCTTCGGGGACCCCAGGTGGAAGGGGGACCCCTCGGTTCCCGCCCTTGGGCCACGTCCGGGCCGGGACCCACACACGACAGGAATGAGGCCGGAGACGCTGCTTCCTCCGACCTTCAGCCTGAGCGGCCTTGGGGCTCAGTGCCTCACAGCCTCCCTCCGCTCAGCCCGGCCCCTTAGCGCCCGGTCCTGAGCCCCACGTCTGAGCGGCGCTGCCCAAGCAGTGACGGCCCGGGAACTGCAAGGAAGCGCCCACTCGCGCAGCAGGTGTACGCGGAGGTGACTCAGGCTTCGAAACGCAGGAGGGAGGAGATGGAAGCTCCTAGAAGTCACGTCATTTCTCCAGCATCGCGCACCGAGGGCCCGACAGCGTGGCCTCACGTCCCATGATTCCAGAGCGCGATCTGTTTACCCTGAGACGCTGCCCGGCCTGGAAACTCTGACCTCAGGCCTTTCACACAGCCCCCCCCCC